AAAAAAAAAATTTATATATATTTACGGTATACAAAGGCAGCTACGGACGAGGACCCTGGACTGAGTCCACGGTACGCTGGTGTGCGTTTGGATCACAGCCTTTCGCGGTTATCAGTTATCAGCAGGAAAACCTGGAAGGGTGTGGGTGCACGTGTGCGCTTAGCTGTGACCGGTAGAGGGAAACTGAGAAGGGGCGGTGTGTTTCTCACGCTTTCTCAGGGTGAAGCAACTCTGAAAGGCCAAAGTTTCTCCAGCCTCCCACTAGCATCGCGGGAAAGCAATGCGGCTCGGCTGAGTGACCCGCCAATCTAGGCTCATTATAGTTTGGCTTCCTTCGTGCGCTTCAGGATGCCACCCAGCCTAAACCTGCAGTCATACTCGTGTCCTTTTTTGTTCTGTCTCCGTGCAAAGCGTCCATTCACTTCCGCGTCGAAAGCCCTCCTGACGCGACCAGTTTGCCAGACGACGACAGGTGCCCCTTAACCCGCGAAGAGGTGGTCGCCTCAAGAGAGATTCCAATGTCGGCCGCACCGCGGGCGGTTTAAAAGAAGAGAGCATAAAACGAGGTTCACAAAGAGCGATGCGGCGCAAATGATGTCGCCGTGTTGGCGCGGTCACCTCCAAGGTCAAGCGGACTGTACGTGCGTCTTCAAGGGCTCGGTCGTGATTCTCGTCAACAACCGTGCTCTCGAGATTCGATGCGTCCGCCGCATCTTCTACGGGGCTTTTGCTCCGCGAACGTTAGGACCAACGCCTGACTGTTGGACCGAGGAGATACCTCCTGTATACATAAGCTCTCTTCGTGGTTGTGTGTAACTGAGGTCTTCGGCTATTTATGTACTCCCCCAGTTTCACTCAGACGTTCGGCAAAGCTATGTTATGCATCGCACGTACCTCGGGAAAGCGATCCCAAAACAGCTGCAGATATGTCAACAATGACAGTATTTTTACCAGTGGGGCGGAGAACCGGGGAGATTCGCGAGCGGGAGGAACCACCAAGAAAATCAAATCGATTGAATTCGATGTTTATTTGATGAACTGGAGAATTTGTTCCCGCATCTTGGGCCGGCTACTTCAAACTCGTGGCATGAATAGCATGTATGATATATGAACTACGATAGTGAAATCTGTACACAATGAATAATGCATTGAACTATACTATAGAAATCATAAGAACTACACAATGAGAGATTGCGCTATAGAGTTATACACACAATAAATTGCAACTATGTAAATTTTAAGCTAAAGGGGAAAAGCATTATTAGCGCTTCGGAATAAAGAAAGCTTCTTTATTTTTGTCCTCAATATAATACTCGCGAACAGAGACTCTCGCTCTAGACTGGCTTCACCCGTCCATTCTTGGGCGTTCCCCGAGCGTTGGATTCTTGATGACGCGTGATCCAGGCACGTAGCTGGGGGGGGGGGGGGGGGGGGGGGGAGGCATGGGGCCCGCCCCCCTCCCCGCGAACCAAAATCCTGGCTACGTGCCTGGCGTGATCACAGTATATTACTCGTACATCCTCTAAGGCTCGACCTTTGGACACATGTAAAGTATGTATCGCAACAATTGGATATAAGATATGCGATATTTACCAATTGCAAGAAAGGTCACCAGGCTCAAGAAGTAGAAACCTAATTTTCCTTTCGTAACGCAAATCGCGCACAATCTTGACATTTCGGGTGAATAGGCGCATATGATCCGTACCGCTGTATGACGCACACTGCCCAAACACAATAAGCACTTGTCCACAGTTTTTTTTTTTCCGTCGGCATCATGGTGGGTTTCGGTTTGCTCGCTGTTGTACCTAAATTCCCTAGATAAGAGCTTCCTACAAGTGGCGACATTCTTTGAAGCGCCGGCTGCGTGACGGTGCACGTTTTAGGAAGCGAATGGCGGCGCACACCAGAGGTTTGAACTGAATGCCGCCATTTTGTTGCAGCCGAATGAGCTTCGTCATTTGTATTGGTTGTCGTTACTTGTAAAAGAAGTATCAAGGGTCTTTAGTTGGACCGAGGCATCTGATCTAAATCAATTATCAGAGTGTGTGTACCTCGCTTCAGCTTAAATCCAGACGCAGACGACGTTACGAGCTAATGGGACAAATCAAGCAGCATAAAAAGCGGAAGTCACTAGGCTTTTTATGTTTATGATTTGTTGTTCGGCGATAATAGAACACGTACAGAAACATTCATAATAGAACACCCTCATGATGCGCTTTTTACGGTGTCTGATTGTCCCACCAACTGGTAGCGTCGGCTGTCTGGACATAAGGTGAAACGAAGTATGGATAAAAGCCGGTTAGCTTATCCGATAATTTTTTTTAATATATACTGCACGCGTTATAAAGGTGAGAATACGGTTCACCGATGTACGATTTCTTAGTAATGATTAGACTCATAAAGCACTACGGTACATTCAGTTTGTATTCGGATAGACAAACCTGGATAAACCCGACCGTCAGTTATTTTGCGTCGTCAACAATTAATTTGAAGGAAAAAAAAAAGCAGGAAAAAAAAAGAAAAACCGAAGAAGCCATATAATGACTTCTTTGAGCGGCATATGCGTCGCCAAATCGACCTACTTCGTCAGCTTTTGTGTGTTGCGTGTCTGGCCACCTTCTTGTCTCGAACGAGCGTTTGTGCTCTCCCCGTGTTCAGAGGAGGAAGTTACAAGATGAGAACCAATCGCGGGCGAACCTCTCCATCTTTCTTAATTAACTAGACTTCCCCGTCCTCTCCCTCTGCTTCGCTCATGCGCCTTCCGTTCTTGATAGCTAGCCCAATTTCGACAATTGCGGTCATCCGCGAATCCTTTAAGTACTTCGTTTACTTCCTTATCCTCTAACAATTAAAAAAGAAAAGCAAAAACCAAGGGAAACAAAAGGGTGACCGCCAAAGAATATACACTCCGTTGCGACCGCGAAACCATTATAGTCAGCCATTATTTAGAGGTATAGAAAGAGGACTTCGGAAGATCATTCTTACACGGATGTCAATGATATTTAGAACGGTTCGGTGCTCCACAATCTCATGCGCCTGCGTAAACGGTGGTGTAGCCAAAAAGTGGAAAATAATTTCAGACCATCTCAGTGGCAGGGTGATTAATTGAAACTGAAAAGTTAGTTCCACTTTAACGTGTGATACGTATCCGTCCTTAACCTTTTTTGGGTGTTCTCTGTCTGCTTTGCTTACAATTTACAATGCGTTCCTGTTTTTCCCCCTAGTTCCTAACTTTTTTTAAATTTTTTTTTTAAGGATTTTATACATATTGCAGGCTTCCATCGACTGTATCAACAAATTACAACGGGGAACATATTCAGCAGGCGGAAAAATGAGTCACTCTGATCATTGAGTACAACATTTCAATGGGGAGCATATTCAGTAGGCATAATATGAGTCCTTCTGATCATTGAGTACACATTTCTAAAGTAAACTAATCGAGCAACGGTGAATATGGCGGCGTAGATGCTGACATGTTCACCGTTGCCTGATTAATCGGGACCAGCTAGTTTATACAATCTAATTGATAACTAAAAAAAAAAAAAAAAGTAAGACACATTTCAGCTGGGTTCAAATTGGTTACATTTCGCGTTTGATTTGCTCGGCGGCTACGGCTGAGAAAATCGTTGGCCGTGATACAACGGGCCTGGATGACACCGGCGCACCGTGGTGACATGGAAGTCTGATAAGATAATCTTTAGACTGCGGGTAAACCAACCATGTGCAATGTACACTAGCTCGTTTGCGCCCTTACATTTTGTTCAAGATAATCTCTTAGGAAGAGATCATCCTATAGGATGATCTCTTCCCAAGACCATCGTCGAGACAGACTGAGTCTTAGTTGCTCTCTGACATCAAATCCCGATGTATCTTTCCTCGTCTGTGATATATAAGTCTTTTGTTTGAGGAAAAATGTGATGACCTCGAGCGGCAAGGTTTTAGATTCTTTTAAGAGGGAACTGACAGACATCTTAATCGGTCTTCGCTCACCGTAGTCATGTGTGGCTTGAACTCTCTCGGTCGAAGTTTACCTTTCAGAAATAGATTGTTTTTCAAGAAGCTTCCGGAATTAGTTTTCCACCAATACACTGGTTGAGGTACAAAGGTATGTCCTGAGATAGCTAGTACTTGACGCCCTTAACTCAAAACAATTTTTAGTTCTCAAAAACGTGTCATGACTTATGTACCTAGCCCATCGAGTTGCTTTACTATCGTACTTCGTTTTTGGACGGTTATTTACACAATAATAATAATAATAATAATAATAATAATAATAATAATAATAATAATAACATTAATAAATTATGTTGATAGGATCACGACAAGTCTTGTGTATCTGTTGCCTGCTTCAGAAGGGTGCACCATAGCGTGTGCCCCAGAGACTCTTAGGGCCCTCTTGAAAGGTGCGCACCTCTGAACGGCGCTCCGGTGCCATTGAGCGCTTATATGCCAACGATCGTTTCAGACCCCTCCAGCCATATCTCGAGGCAGAGCGCTACACGGCGCAACGGCTCTTCAGCCATTGAACCGCCCGTCGATGTCAAGTCCCCCGACGGACGGAGCCGACACCTCGGAAAAGGGAACCAGTCGGAAACATGTGATAAAACAAGCGAAGGACGACGCTGGCAACAAAAGCAAACACGCGGAACAAGGGGCAGCGGTTCAAAGCTAGGCGCACGGGGGACACTTCGAGCCGAGAACTTCGTAGGGCGAAACACGTCTCGCCCCGTGGATTCCCTCCTCAGAAACGCTCCTTCCGCGATACAGATGCCCACTCTGGCGAGCGCGTCCCGTGCTGCGGTACGCATGTTTCCGAAATCGCTCGTCGTTGGACCTGTATGTATGAGGCGGCCCCCCTCTCATACACACGACACCACAGACGACCTCATCAGGACGACAGGAACAAGGGAACCGCACGGCAATAGCACCAAGCACAACGCTTGAGTGTCGGAGTCGCGGCATGGAATCGGACAGCTCGTTTATGTGGAGTGTACGCTTACCTGGCTCGGCCGGCAGTTGCGTCGCCCGCGCAGAGGTGATTCGGAGGGGCGGGGGGGCATCCGTGTGGTGGTGGTGGAGCGGGGGAGGTAAAGAATTCGGCGAGCGCCTCCGAAAAAGCTCCGGCAGGAGTCCGGGGTCGCGCGTCGGAGATACCGGGGGCGGTGATATCCCGTCGCCGCGGCGACTATCGGGCGAGCGTCGCCGCTTGGTTGGCGTTGGCAATGGCGCCGGACGAGTCCGAGGCGGAAAGCGTCAACATCGTCGTACCTTGCCGAGAGACTGGTTGCGTCTTGCGTTAGCAGGAAAAGGCGGGCGAGCGTCGGGCAACCGTGGGAAGCGCTCGGGGGAAAGGGCGCGCGTCGGCACGCGTTTCTGCTTCGCTCGGGACGGCCCAGCTGGCCGCCCAGTGGGCCGCAGGGACGTCGGTCCGTCGAGGGATCTTCGCGGGCGCGCTGCGCCGCATTCGAATCAACGAAAGCGACGTCACGAGGTTTCTCGGCTGGCCGCATGCACTCTTCGCTTGCAGACGGCATTTCACAGTTAGGCTGATGCGGACAATACCACTACTTCGTCAAAATTTCTTGAGGGTGCTATAGATTGTCGAGAAGTTTTGCTTGCGCGAGCTTTTAGTCTACAGCTTTACTTTGTTTCTGGCGTTCTTCGGGGGTTCATTCGTCTTTACGGCACGGCTCATGGCCTCTGCCGGGGTCGGGGGACCCCAAAATAAGGGAGAACGGGAACGCTGTAACGCTACACTTATAGTTTTCAGAACCCCGCGTTGGAAATGTTTTGTCCTGTGTATGTTTGCTTTTGGGATCTCCACTTCGGAGGTGGTTATGCTCTGTGTATGTATAACTTCTCTGCCAACAAATTTGCTTTCTGTTGTTTATGGCTGCTCTTGTGAGATTCGTTTGGAATGTGTTCTGTCTCGTGTATGCGCATGTTTTTGGAACGTTCGTATTTGCTTTGGGCTCCGAGCCTTTTGATTGGTGCTAAGAAAACCCCTCTTGATTGGTCCTTCCAAAATGTTCTGATTGGTGGACTGGAGGAGCCCAGAATGCTGCTGAACTCAATATAAGCGGCCACCGAAGGGCCGTAAGGCACTTGGCTCCTGGATACCAAGCCTTGGACATCTCCCTGCCTCTGGAAAACCAACCTGCACGTCCGAACCCCCTTCGGCTGTGGAGCCGTCCGCCCGCTAGCTCGCAAACTTGGTCCCCCTTACGGCTGTGGAGGAGTTCGGCTCGCCCGCCTTTGTGTGGAACTGTGTTTGTCGAGTTTGGCTGTGGTCGGGGCCCCCGCTGAGGGTGTGTGCGGTCAGGGAGGACGGCAGGGAAAGTTTCCTTCGGTTAGAATTATTTCCCCCCCAAAGTCTAATTCCTTATGTGTGTATTATAATGTTTAACATTATGCCATTTGTTTAATAAATCTTTATTGGGACTAACCGAACCAAGTCTAAGAAGGCCCCATTCTTATGTGACAATATGCTAAAGGAGGTGCCTCTACGTTCGGATGTTCGTTTGAATTGGAAGACGTATTTCCCACTCTTTCTCCATGCTACTGTTTATAAACAAGCGCTGTGTCGCCCCCCTTCACCCCCCCCCCCCCCCCTTATTTTCCCCTTCTTTTTTTTTTGTCCTGGTTACCCCTTGCGTATTTAAATTATTATTATTATTATTATTATTATTATTATTATTATTATTATTATTATTATCATTGCAGGAAAGGCTACGACAGAGCCTCGCAGCACCATAAGAGCCTTCAAGCGCGAGCGCGACAGCCCGCGATTAAAAGGGTTCTATTGATGTCCATCGAACACTTGTAACCTCGCCAGCTTAATTTTGTTCACTCTTCTTTTCGACTTGTGGCGAAGCGAGGCTACGGGTCATTCGCTCCAACCAATTGGTTCGTGCAGAGTACGTGAATTTTTTAGAGTCCCTTCATTGGACGAATGCTACAAGTGCGAGTTTCTTGCACAAGGACGTACCTCAGCTATACGAACTCTTGCGTAGCAGGACCACCTGCCAGAGCTATGAGCTAGACAGAACGTCCGGCGACTACAATCATTAATTTTCATTATCTTGTTTTCGCTACTTTGTTTATGTGTATGTATATGTAATCGTATGGAAGGCTTGATCACATTGGTCTAGTTAGTTCGACTTCAGCTCCTCTGAAATCTTCGGAATCAGGAGTTTCAGAAGCGCTGAAGAAGTGAGCCTCCTTGCAGCGTTGTGCGGATAGGGCGAGATCTCGATAGAGCCTTGGGCAGCATTAAAAAGTCCGAGGGACTGCATCGAATTTACTTTGTTGTTGTTGTTGTTTCGTCACCGATTAGAAAGAGGGTGTCTAAAACTCGTTCCAAGTTCTGGGACCGAACTAGCCAGAGGGGAGCGGAATGTATAATAAAAAGAGGTAAAAAAAGGATGAGTTTAAAACGAGTGATGTCAATCAGCCACTCCGGTTCCGCATTCCGGAGTGAAGAGGAGGAGCTCGGCCCGTTAGGGTAGAGCTCCCCGTGGCCCGTGCTCGTTTACGTTGGAGCTTGGGCATGGCGGTTGTTATCCTGCAGTGATTACCTCCGATACCATCTCCACTGTGCTCTTGTTTTTCTCTTTCATTGATTTATCTCCGCTCGTATCCACTTTTTCACGGTGTAGGAGAAAAAGCTGGGCGTTTTGAGGTTTCGACGTGGACGAAGAATGCGGCGTCTACTTCAATCAGTTGTTATAATCCTCGGATAGTTGTTTATCGTGCCTTGCCCAAAGGACAGCTGGGTTGTCTGGCTTGGTTAAAAAGAAAAAAAAGTTTTTTCCAGACAAACGTCTAAGAGGATGGTGCAACGGGCGACTAATGCCGCCTGAGTAGGCCCCGTTCCCATGAACAGTTCAGCAGCGCCAGCAGCATAATAATAATAATAAAGTAGAAACAGACATAAAAATGGTATTTAAAAATGAACAAAATAATACACTACACACAATAACAGTCCTAACATGCAAGAATTGTTTCAATATTTTATACTAAAGCTAAGACGTATGTTTTTTTTAGATGTTATTAAGTTTGGATATTGTTTTGGAGCTATGAATCATTCATTGGCAATGCTTTTGGGCTGGTGTTTAGCAGCTGTACAATTTGAAACGTAGAGTTTGAACTCTACGTTCCTTGGCTAGAATGGGCTTGAGCTTCGAATTCTTCAGCATTCTTCCGGGTGCTAGCGGGAGGTTTTTGAAGATCCAAAATGTTGGAGAACCCTCATATCATGTTTTCGCGTGCTATATTTTTTTTTTTTTTTTTTGCAGTAGGTGCATGCTATCATGCAAAAGGGCGGAACGCTTCTCGAGATTCTTCTCTGTGGCTGCTGAGCTTCTTGACCACGCTCGGTATGGCTTTCTCGGAACGCAATACTTGCCAGAGAAACGATGGGTGGAACTCATGTCACAACTCGTTATATTGATGAAGGAACGTTCAATCCGTTGTTCTTGATTACGTTATAGGTACAAATCTGTTTACTGAGAGCTTTAAGTCTAACTTTTGAGTACCAAGTAGGTGTAAAGATATTTACTTTTAAAGCGCAACTGCGATCACGTGTCACCTTTCCGGGTAACAACTGATTCTGAAAAGGCTATTTGAAGCGTGCGACAAGACAGTGGCGCCCCTGTGCGGCTCCGAGCATAATCATTTCGCATTGAACACGGCCGGACAGGCATAGACATCCTGTGTCGCATCTATATTTAATGCGTTAGCATTAGTACCCACATGGAAAAGCTGACGGCGTCCATCTGTCGACAAAACGATGGAAAGGGAAGCGTAGAAAGGAGGAGAGTAGTGAAGGACAAAAGCGAGAGGGAGGTGACGTCACGGGGCGAAAGCCAATGCGCGCGCGGATGCTGGGGCGAGTCTGAAATTGCAGGAGTGCGGAGCACGTATGCCTTGGTTTGTGGGAAAAAAGGATGATTCATAGGGTGGAACCTTTGGGAATGCGTTACCATCACCCGTGGGAAACGCCACACACGTCCCTTTTTGGGAAACGCAAACACTGGCCCTGTAACGAAACCAAAAAGAGGCGGCAAAAAAAAATAGAAGCAAAAGGAAAAGCCAAAAGAGAAAGCCAAAACAGAAATGTGAAGGGGCCAGCGTTAGCGCTTCCCAAGGGTCATGCTAACGCATTCTCAAACAATCCACCAATGGATCTTCCTTTGTTTTTTTCTAATCATTGTAAGCTTACCAGAGCACAGTACTATACAAAGCGTTCGGGGTCACCCTAAATGCTGACCTTTTCCTTCTTTTTTTTCTTTGTTTACTCGAGAGCTGGAAATTTAGAGCACTGATCCCTCTCATGGGTCGGCGAAAATGGTCGAAATTATATCTCAATTCCAATGCGTCTACTCGATCCGCCGGCGAGCGAAGAGTAATCCGATAATCAGAGGAGCGCAAAATACTTCTCACGTATATTTGTCAATTACTGCCGACGAATGACGTCCCACGGTGATTTCCCGACCATCATACACACACACACACACTTCGTATAGGTATATATTGCGCAGATAAACAAAAAAAACATGACGTCGTCTTTCCGTCGTCGCCGCTTACCCGAATTCGGAGCAACTCCTGCAGGTCGAATTACGCGAAAACACATACAGAGCAACGCTGGACGAGGGTGGTTTTCGAATGTCAAGGTGACAAACCTCTACTCCGGAGCGAAATTGAGAAAGATTCGCGGAAATGCACAGACACGGCCAAGACGAAGAGGGTAGCGCTTCACCATGCTGAACAGGTCAGCTTAATAACACAAATTTATATGAAATACAAGAAGACGATGTGCGCGTAACAATTCGTTAAATTCTTGGAACTGTAACGGTCAAAAGTTCATTCCTGAAGACTGAGGCTTGAGATGGGTACTCGCTTCATAAGGGACAAATAACATGAACGGAATGTTTTTTTTTTTTCTTCTTTTTTCCTCTTGCCGAGGAACGGTACAACTCCCCTCTGCTTGCGGGCACCTTTGTGCGTCCAGTTACCCTCTCTTCTTTCTTCTGCCGGCCGTCAGAACACGTAGCTCTTTCTCATTTCTCTCAAAGGTGTAATTTAGTTCTCACTCCCACGTCCTCAAAACGGAACGCGTAATGTCATGTTTGTAAAAGTTAAACTTTTTTTTTTTCTTTTCTTTTTTTTCCCCATTCTTTTTTGCAGGAGACCGGGCCGCCGGCTTGAGTGACTATCCCGGTGACTGACGCCTTCAAAGGAACTGCGCCCTACTTGTCTACTTCACAGTTTTGCCTGGAATAAAAACTTACGTAGGCACCCAACA